TCCCTTATCCTTTCCCTGCCGACACAGCATGCTGCATCTGCTGAGATGCAGATACAGGCGTGTGAATGCAAAAGAGAACCCTGGTATCAGTCACTTCAAAAAAGGCACAGAAGGCCAAAGAAATCTGTGGCTTCGATTGATTTCTTGATATCATGGATACCAGGAAATGTTATTTGTTTCCAAGTCTAGGACCCCAAAGTGCCAGGCGTTATGTGAACAGCAAAAAATGACATCTTGGAGTTTACTGTCCACAGTGGAAGACAGCATGGTGTGAGAGTGAGGCAGTACTGATGAAACAGTACTCTCGGTATGCAAGCAACTTTATTTTCTAAATTATAACCCCGTGTTATGGGATCAGTTTTCAGGATTGTGCTTTGCTATGCACTTTGTGGCGGGGCCAGTTCATGGACAGATTGTCTCTGAGGCCATAGGAATGAGGATGCTGGTCTCTGAGAGTTTGTTTAACATCCGAGTGACCTATCCTTGATACAGGAACTCTGGTACATTACTATTTTATTCTTCTTTCAGTACCTGCTGTTGTTGCTCCACTTAAAAACAAAACAAACCCCCTAATAACCTCCTAGTTAAAAGAAGAATTGGGAGGGGATGAGCTATTCTCATTATATAAGGGGCTCAAGTTAACTGTATCACCAGTATTCAGCCAGCTGTATTTGATGGAAAGCAGTTACACAAAATCATCGCTCTGCTGTTCCTGAGCGGTCTTTTAAGGTGTTCTCTTCAAATCAGTGATTGCTTGTTGCTTTGTTTTGTTAAACTGTTTTGTCTCTGGATGTGGGTGAGACCTTCTATATCCCAGTTCGAAAATTGAAGGGTTCTTACTCTTGTGCTTGGAGAGCAGGGGTTTTCCCATCGTCTGTGATGCCTGCAGGAGCTGGGACCCACCAGAGCTGGCAGGTCACTGCTCTGCAGTGCTGGGCTGTGCTCTGCTGTGCTGCCCTTGCTTCTCCCATGGAAGTTCAGCCTTGCTGCCTGGCAGTTCTTGGAAGTTTTCTGCTCAATTTAATCCTTTCAAGTGATCAATGAAATGTGTGGCATTGGGGGAGAGGGGAGTGATGTGAGGGCAGTCTCTTTGGTGTCACCATCTGTTTCTGTATTTAGTCAAGGCTCCTCAGGGAATTTCATGTTTAGAAAAAAGGGCTGATGGAAGGAGATGCACGAAAACAAACTTGGCCTCTCAGGAAATGGGGGCTACGCTGGGCAGAAGTTAGAATAATTATTTGCTCTGTGGTTCCTATTCTGGCTGTCTTAGCAGGATGTTCCTTTTGGGAACAACAAAAATGGGTGCAGTTATTCTACTGGGCAGAAGCAATTGCTGTTGTAAAACCAGCTACAACTTCAAAGTAAACTAAAGTAAGTAGTTCTGAGCAGCTGAAATGCCACAGTGCCTGGGAGTTTCATTGTGCCTACTACTCCTTAGCAACACGCAGAAGGATCGCCGTGAGTCTCTGGGAAATGGCGCAATATTGTACAAAAGAACTAGGTCTCCTTTTGGGGGTATTTGTTAATACTTTTGCACATGGACTTCTGCTGGGAAAGGGGTCTGTGTCTGGACGTTCTGATAATTTCTAGGTGTTGAGATACCAGAGGGATCTCATTGTCCATCTCCCCTCTTTTTCCCTCTAAATGGTACCTAATCAATAACTGTTCATGCCTGTGGAGTCTCTTGTGTGTCAGGTTATCAATGCCTCTATCTCCAAACTGATTTCCAAGCTCAGGGAGTGGAAAGTGTGTGTGACCCGGACCCCCTGGTCTGCAGGGACAGACCACGCAGGGTTCTGTGAGCATGACACACTCCAGATGCTGGTGTGTGTGCTTGTGTGCGTGCCCTGGCATCAGGGTGCAGTGTGTGTGGGAGGGTGCACGCCTGGCTCCTGATTAAACTGCACTTGCCTGCAGGCTCTCATCTATGTGCTCCTGGGTTACTGGTGTCTGAAGGCATTAAAATGCACTGTTGGGAATGAGTGTTAACAATAGGTATATTAGAAAAGGTTTTCTTTCATCCTACTGTTGAGAACTGCAGACACAACTTTGCTGGTTTGTGACTCTTTGCTCTTGATACCATGATGGTAGTAGGAGCCTTTGGTGAAAATAGCATAAAGATCTTTTGCTAACACATGTTGCTGTTCATATATTTGTCCGGAATTGTCAGAATGTGATTTGGGAAATGGATGAATTCTCAACAGCAATGTCTTGCCCAATATCACACTTTGTCTTGATCATCAGGAGTTTCAGAAAGTGTAAGAGGATGTCATGAGGAGCTGTAATATAGTTCCTCAAAATCTGTATTCAATGCATTGCTTACCAGCTCTCTGGGATCTTGAAACTCAAATCTGCAACATAAGAAAACATTTCTTTCTATTGCTATTGTTCACTGGCCATGAGGGTGATTTTCATGCACCATCCTTGGGTTTAGGTACTGATCAGATGCACTGGTGCTTTTCATTTGCTTGGTGAGGGGAAATTAATCTGCCTGCTGTGGAAACTCCAGAGCAGAACGTAGCAGCAAAAGTAGAATTATGTAGGCTTTTTAAAACGGCATTAAAACCGGTTCCTTTACTGGGACGACTGGAGGTAGGCCAATAGACTTTGTCTACAGTAAGGAAAATCCAGGGTACTAAAGTGTTTAAAATAACTAAAGTAGTTTAAAAAAACCCACCTAAACTAAAATAAATCATTAAAAATAGAATTAGTGTTCCACCTTCTGGATAATGTAATATAGAAATACTATTGCATCTCTTCAAACGTAATAAGCCTATAAGCAAAGAGCTAATGGTGCTGACGGGTTTAAGAGGATAGGAAGGGCTTTTATAATCAATAACTTAGGGGGAGAAAACAAATTAGGGAGAAAGTAGGTCTATGAATCGATGAAAAGCAGGATGGCCTTAACGTTACTCAACAGTTCAGCACTTTGGCTTTTTCTCAGTACTTATCTAAGCAGAGTTTATGTGATTTCTATGGAAAGACATGGAACAGATTAGTTTGCAATAACTGAAATGCAGTGTGACGTTATGCCTAATTCTGCATAATTGCAGGTCATGCTCTCCCTGATTTGCCTTCATGCTCCTGCTCTT